CTTGCCATGGATCTCAGCTATAGTCATAGATTGTGGTGACCACTGAGGAACGGGAGGCGTGCAAGTGGTACCCAGGCAGCCGATTGCGTCGCAGGCAACCGCCAGAGGAGCTGGCTTCAGCGCCGCGGCATACCGTAAAATAATTACGCTAGCCGTCTGAAATCTCCGCCGAGAGGTCTTCTCGCACCTCGTCGCGCTGAGGTGCGATATCAGCCTCAGGGACAGCTCAATATTATCAATATCTATATCATTTCGAACAGCAAAATAATTCACTGATAAAAACAAATGAATAGATTTAATAGAGTAAAGTCTTCCTAAAGAAGAACGGTTATGCAATTCAGTTCCTTAAAATAACCAGAAGTTGAAGTTTCAAGATGCAAAATATTTTTTCGCATTTGGTCGAATTTTTGTAATATATTTTTTTGCAATGTTGAACTTAGAAACGTTGTTAGAAAGCATAAAATGTCTACTACAAAACTTTGCAAAAAATATGTAGTAAGAATTCGATCGCATGCGGAAAAAATGATTCTCAAAATGACATTTTCAGAATGCCCGAGAACTTTCTTTACAGCCTAATAAGTTAATGATGATCTATGCTGTTCTCTTTTTATCAAGCTTATTTAGCTCGCTTAATATCACGAAGTGTTGGAATGCTGATTGACAGATTTTTTTCACGTCTCATACGTTCTCCTCCGATTTTGGTTCCCAGAAAAATATTTTGATAACTAATCACTTCTTTGCATCTTAAATCAATCCAACTTCTGGTTATTTCTGAAATTCTTAACCGTTTTCCTTTAAAAAGAACTCTACTCCGTGCAAATTTGCTCTTTATCAGTGAATTATAGAATTTTTGCTGTCCTAAATGATATTTATACTGAAAATAGATCTGCCCCTGAGGCTGATATCGCACCTCAGCGAGACGAGGTGCGAGAAAACCTCTCGGCAGGAGATTTCAGACGGCTAGCGTAATTATTTTACCATATGCGACGGCGCTGACGCCAGCTCTGGCGGCTGGCTGCGACGGCAGTCGGCTTCCTGGGTACCACTTGCTACGCACCCCTGAGGAACTTAAGTCTGTTGAGCACGTACAGCTATTTCTAATGTTTTCCTTCCTCATCTTCCTTCACTGCATCCCCCATTTCTGGAAGATGATTTCTAAATACCGTTTACGACTTCCTCCCCCCCCCCCCCCCATGAATACGACACGCCACATGAGGCACTGATTCCACGCTTGACCCTGACTGGCAACATGATTAAACCATTTCAGCATGTTTAGCACATGTTGGACATGTCACGTCGAGATATATGTTGACCATCATGGAGTTTAGGTTTGTTGAACACATACAATTATCTTTAATGTTTTTTCTTGCACCTTATATTCCTACTAGCTGCGCTCCTCGGTCCCACCCGGGCCGATGGTGTAAAATGGCCCGTCTGCTTCAAGATGTTTGCTTATCATTCCTCCACTTCGGTTAGATCATATTTTCTCTTCCTCTCCTGCTTCAGCTCCAAGTCAGTTCCAGCACACGTGTAGTATCCGTGGTGAATTTGTCCTTCTTGACCGGCTCGCTTCATGACACCGCATCCTCCTCACCGCAAAATGTAAATGATCTCTACCGCCCTTTACTACTTAACTTGGAGAAATGAATGATATAGCCTTCATTTTCCTAGATGTTAGTAAACAAATCAATAAATCGATAGGACGACCCAGCGAGAAGTTGCGAAAAGTAGCCTATCTTCTGCGCCGTGTCTCATTTACAGGGGAACAAAATTCAGCCTCTTCGGTTCACATACAAAAGAGTCTATAAGCCGCAAACATCCTAACAAACAAAGGTACAGTGTTTGAGTTTTATATATATACTAGCTGGCA